TTTGACAAAATGATTTAAAATATTTTTTGGTACCTCAAAAAGTGTGGTTATGATAACCATTCAACAATCTAATCCGGTAAATAATTGTTCTTTAAATGTCTCTAAAATGTAATATTTATGGAAACTATAACCTAATAACTTATACTTATGTTATACTTATCTCCAGCTTGTCTTTAACATCACAACACAATGGCAGCAGAGCAGCGCATCAGAATGCTTGCGTTTGGAGGAGATGTGCTGGTTTTCCAGAGCAAGACTTTCGGCACAAAGGCCCGCGGCTCCGAGGTGTCCTTCTTCCGTTTCTCCTTCAACCAAGACTCGCAGATGTTCTCCATTAAAGAGCAAAACACCATTCACAAAGACAGCTCTGCGGAGATCGAGATTATTCACTGCTGCGCTGCTCTGGATCAACAAAAACGGCAAAAAGTGCCTTGCGTTTTACTGCGGCTGTGCAAAAAGAGAGCATCTGCTTTTAAATACATGCTTTACTCCATATGCAATGATGTGAAGCTTCATGTGGAGTTTGTGTTAGTGCACAATATTAGGGATCGGATTTCAATACTGCAAGGCCCCATGTTTACATGGAGACATGAAAATGTGGTTTACCATGCATCTTTGAAGGATGGAGGAGTGAAGGAAGCGCAAATTCCCTTTAAAGTCGATTTCATGCATGAGCTTTCCAGAAAAATAGTGGCACCTAAAGAGCAAGACCTGTTTTATTTAATTGAAGATGCACAGATATTAGACGCTGCACGTCTTGTTCCTGACGCATACAGATCTGTGCTGCAATGCATGATGGTTTTGTCTGCTGAAGATGTGCATGGAGATTTAAAATCAGCTGTTTTGGCGGCCACGAGCATGAAACAGCTGGTTTACTTTGAGGACTGTGTTCCTCAGGATGTGTGTGTTCTTCCATATGAGCGGCCGCTGGATATTCAGATTCTTCACACGCTGAAAAATGAGTGTCTTATTGCGGTGAGCTTCGCTCAGGGGCATGTCTGCGCGGTGTGGAAGGACACTTTCCAGGTCAGTGATGCTTCCTCAAGTGTTTTTAAGGGTTAGTTCACTCAGAAACTAACATCAGCACATGATTTGCTCATGCTATAGGTGTGCTGAAGTTGTATGTGAGGTTCTTCTTTAGTTATTTAGGAAATCATGTATGCACACTTGGTACTATATTTGTTCTTTTAAGGTTCTTTTTATATACATTTATTATTAAGGTTTCACCTTATTTTGATGGTCTGTTTGTTGAATTTAAGTTGCATTGCATCTACAGTACATGCCAACTATTCTCATTTGATTATAAGTAGACTGTGAGGTTGGGATTAGGGTTAGTACAAGTTGGACAGATATTAAGAAGACAGTCTATTAATACTTGAATGGGCCATCAAAATAAAGTGTTACCTTTAATTATATTATTAATAAATGTATTATTAATTATATTGCATATATTTATTCATTAATTTAATGGAAACTATGCATGCATACTCACAAATATAAATTAATTTAAGTGGGGGTATAAATTAATGAATGCATGAATAAATAAACAAGTAAATGATTGAATATAAATGAGTGAATGAACGAATAAATTAGTGAATAAATAAAGGAACGAATATATACATGAATAGATTTTGGCGAATTAATTAATTCATAAAATAAATGAGAAAGTGATTGAATAAAAACATAAATGAATAAAAGTAAACAAGTGCATGAATAACCTTAATGAGTAAATAAGTAAATGCAAGCATTTTAAAAATAAGTGAATGAATACAGGGTGTCCGTGGGGCTTTAAAAGTATTAAAAGTTGATCAATCAGAGAAAATTAAGGCCCTTAAAAGGTATTAAAAAGTCTTAATTGTGTTTTTACCAGGTCTTAAATTTTGTCCAAAAGCATTGTCCAAAATGTTTGACTAAAAAAAACCTTAAATATATTTATTTTCCTCCAAATATTAAAAACGGCGTGCTCGATCCACGCGATTGATTCGGGCCGGGGTGCATCCAGCCAAGCTCCTTCGTCCGGGTCACACGTAATTTGCAACTAACACGGGAAGGTGACGTGACACTCTCCACATGTAGTGAAACCATAGAGCAAAACAGATGGCAAATTGGGAAAATGTAAGTTTGCGTACTCCTGGTTGGAGAAAGACGAGTTTAAACAGTGGCTGTCGCTGAAAACAACCACATAATTTATTCTTTCAAGCTTTGTTTCTTCCGAGCTTATCTGAGTTCTGTTGCATGCTTGTGCTCCATTGATTTATTTAACTACAACTGTTTATTATTAAGTTAAAGGTTTGATACTGTTTTGAACTTGAAGTGGCGATGAGGTCTAAAAATATTCTGAGAAGGTCTTTATAAAGTGTTGAAAATAATTAAAAAGTTTTTTTTTATTTTTTTTTTATTATTATTAAATTAAAAGGGTCATTTAAATTGAAAATACCTTTAGGATTACTGCATATACCCTGGAATAAATACATAAATAATTTAACAAAATCAAGGAGAAAGTGACTAAATAAATAAATAAATAAATGAATGAATAAATTAAATAAAATAAGCATATGAACAAATTAATAATTGAATGAATGATTAAATAATTAAGTGAATGGATGAATAATGTATAAACGAGTGAATGAATTAATAAAATAAATAAGTGTATGAACAAATGAATACTTTAATACAAACCATGTGTAGTATGCTTGGAAAAAAACAATTACAGGAAGGCATTAAAATGCGTCTTTTATGCAACTTCAATATATTTATCAAGTATTAAAGAGGTAAAAAGAAATGCTATATGGGATAAATCTTTAAGAATTAAAGGTGCAGTATGCAAGTTTGACACCCAGTGGTTGAACTAGGTATTGCACACCCAGTTTAAAACGCACACAAGCACAGGTTGCCAGATTGACGACCAACAGGAGCGAGTGATTTAAATTGTGCTAAAAAAAATAAAAAGTATAAAAAAAGCAACGGCACATGATAGAAGAAATATCCTCCATATTAAAATGAGTTTTTATCCTAATCAACACTATTTCTCACAGTTGAACAACAGAAAACTGACAATGATCAGCTCAGATACAGCTCATGGGCTTTATTCAGTGTTAAATGCTAATAACGTGAGTTTGAATGCCATTTTACAGCACATTTATCACCATACTACTGAAAGCAGCAGCAGATAGTTCACCTCAGATCTGGAGAATAAAATAAATCATTTCTGTGACTGTAACCAACACAAATCAGTGATTCAGCATGTGCATTTCATCATGTTAAAGATGTTTAATATGTATTAATTAGATTATACAGCTCACAATTTGTCTGGAGTGCAGCTAGTACACTATTTACATTTAGGCTGTATTTACATTTCTGTCGTGTTTGGTCTGGTGCAAACAGCCAAATTGCTCATCACTGCATATCTCGTCACGTAGCGTGTTGTTTGGACACCTAATGGTTATGTTCAAAATATTGATATGATTTGCTAATTAAAGGTGCAGTAGGTGATTGTCTTCAGAAGCATGTGCTGTTGTGCTGGTTGAAAGTCTCTTCACAGTCCAATAGTGCTGATTACAGTAAATGATCTAAATGTGTTCATGTATTTTTATATTCTGGATGAGGCATAAAATAAATAAATAAATGTTCATCCAATAAAATATTGTCGGGCCGACAATTAACTCAATCGCTACAGGCATCTCAAACTGTCTGTCAACAAATTTAAATGTGAATATCTGCGCAGCCTCTTTACGCTGACAGATACCTCACTCGCGCGCACACGTGAAGCCAGATCTACTGCCGGCAGAGAGACATCATCGTGGCAAACTCTGCATCCACCTGAACTTCTTTCTGGAAGACCGGCGTGGTCTTGTATGCATGTAAACAAAGATTGTATCTGAAAGAGCTTCTGGCAAAAAATGCAGAATCAAAACCTTACTAAACACTGAGTCAATATCAGAGTTACTTTTGCACGCTGGAGGGAAATGACGTTATGCAGTTCAAAACAATGATCTGAAGGGTGACGCACACGGCTGAAGTATTTCTTTTAGACAGGGATGATTTAAAACTATTTTAGCCACGTAAAGCTGATGTTGACTGTGTTCTTGTTTATGAATGGGTTTATATGCATGGTAGTGTCGTTCAGCCACTAAAAACGTCCAGCAGAAGATTGGCTATTTTCAAGTTCATGGAGTATCTTTTACAGCATCAGTAATATGGTCTGTTAAGTAGGGCTGTGCAATTAATCGAAAATCCGATTTCGATTTTAGCTTCTAACGATTATGAAAAACCATTAATCGAGATAAGCATGCTGTCAGCATTCGGTCTCATTCACACACTGACGAGCAGAGTGCACATCTAAATTCATCTTAATGTGAGCGCTTTAATGTTCAAATAGGTGTCAAAACGCTGTCTTTAGTAATTATTTATATTAACCCTTATTTGTGTAATAAACAAACGAGTTGAGAATCAAAGACGTGAAAGAGAAACCATTAAAGTGACAGCGCGCGATGTTTCTGCTGCCGCCTGTTTTTATGATTATTAATCAAACAACAAAACGAGAAAATCCCTCACTGCTCTTGACTGAAGGAGTTTTGTAGCTGAAGTGTTTTTCTTACAGTGAAGATGCTTAAAGCACAGTTTGTTTCATATTTTATTCTATTGTATTTATTTCTCTTTTCTTTGCAGGGAGGAAAATAGCTGTATGTGTGCAGTTGAAATCAGAATTATTAGCGCTCCTGAATATTAGCAACCCTTTCCTCCCCAATTTCTGTTTCATGGAAAGAAGATTTTTTTCATTTTATTTCTAAACATAATAGTTTTCTTTTCTTTTTTTTTTTGAATAACTGATTTTTTTTTTATCTTTGCTATGATGACAGCTCATAATATTAGACCATTTTCAAAATACAAGCATTCAGATTCAAAGTGCAATTCAAAGGCTTAATTAGGATAATTAGGCAAGTCATGATATAACAGTATATATACATTGTATAACAGTAGTTTCTTCTGCAGACAATCAAAAATATTTATTGCTTAAGGGGGCTAATAATATTGACCTTAAAATAGGTTTCAAAATATTTAAACCTGCTTTTATTCTAGCTGAAATAAAACAAATCAGCCTTTCTCCAGAAGAAAAAGTATTAGAGGAAATACTGTGAAAAACTCCTTGCTCTGTTAAACATAATTTGGGAAATATTCATTTAAAGAAAAAATCTCAGGAGCGCTAATAATTTTGACTTTAACTGATAATCGTTTTGAATAATCGTGATTACAATTATGACCAAAATAATCGTCATTATGATTTTTCCCAAAATCGAGCAGCCCTACAGTTAAGCATTCGTTTAGTTGTTTAAGTGTAAAAGGAGATGAAAACAAGCCATGTATGATGATCAGCGAGCACAACTGAAACTGAAAAGTCACTCGTTTACTTGGTAAAGTAAATGTAATGTAAAAAGATGACAGGATATTTCTGTTTTAGCACAGCTTTATTCTGATCAGATTTTTATTTAGTTTAATAACAGAACATAAGTAAATGTGCTCTTTTCCCTAACCAGCTTTACTGAGGCGAAGTTTGATTTTGATTCCTGAGGCCTGTCAACAACTTCGCTTGATAAACTGCGTGTCTCTGGAGTTTTCTAACTGGTGAATGACATGATCTGGTGTTATATTTAATCAGTGCACGTTCATGACTTAAGGAGGCATGGCTTTGGAGGGCAGGGGAGGGATGTGAACTTTCTAAGCTATTATGCTAATGCTAGCATTCTGGCAGATGACCTACTACACCTTTAATAAACGCATCATTCAATTCAATTCAGCTTTATTTGTACAGCGCTTTTACAATGTAGATTGTGTCAAAGCAGCTTCACATAAATGGTCATAGTAACTGGAACAGTGTGGTTCAGGTTTTAGTGTTTAAGTTCAGTTCAGTTTAGCTCTGTTCAGTGTGATTTAATCATTACTGAGAGTTCAAACACTGAAGAGCCAATTCATCGATGCGTAGCTCTACCAATCCTGAACCATGCGAGGCAGTGGCGACAGCGGAGAGG